CCCCCAGCTCCTCGCTCCCCAGTGTGCAGTGAGGTGGGGTTGGGCGCCCCTCCCTGCCCCCCCAGACCCCTTGCTGTGCTCAGCTGGACACCCCAGCCAGAGGTGGGACCTTGAGGAGGCGCAGGTCTGGCTGGCCTGGACTGTCCTAGCGGCCTGCCAGGGCAGGAGGAAGAAAGCCTGCCAAGCCCCCTGACTCCTGTTCTGTGGTTTTCAGGGTCTAAAAGGACAAAAAGGAGACCCAGGAGAGCCCGGGCCCACTGGACCCAAAGGAGAAGCCGGGGACATGGGCTTGTCTGGCCTCCCAGTGAGTGCGGGGGGGCCCAGCCTCCCTGCCTGCCGTTGGGGTTGTCAGGCTGATTGGTGCCTACCATGGGGGCCACTGAGGCTGCAGGGCAGGGGGCGGGGTGGGTGCCCCTCACATGCCCTGTAGTCTCAGCACCCAGGGCTGTGGCCACCGCTGCCATCTCGACCTAAGATGACCTACCTGTGTACCGGCCTCCCTAAAGACAGACAGAGGAGGCTCCTGGAGGAGGCCAGTTGGCCAGGTGGTTAGACCATGTGCCAGGCCTAAGCTGGCCGAGTTGGCCGGACTCCATCGCTCACTGGCGCCAGAAGCCTGGTCAAGTCACAGCTCCTCCCTGGGCCTGCTTCCTCACTTCTGAGACGGGGGTGGCCATGTCCCCTCCCATGAGGGAATGCATGGACGGACCTGATAAATGCCCACTGTCGCTGGCGTCTTTGCCATCGCTCCATCAGGGCGGGGCAGGGCGAGCTGGGGAGATCCAGCGACCACTCGTATCACCCCCAGCGCCCAGGAGGCTCGGTCACTAGAGGGTGCTGGGCTCGGAATGCAGGTCTTTCTTCCAAGCCCCTGGTCACCCTGGCACACAGGAAGATGGTGTCCCACTGTCACGCCCACCTGAAGCCCCACTCCTCCCAGGGAATGTGACAATGACCTAGGGAGAACCTGCATTGCAAGGCCAGCGTGGCACTGCCAGGGCCACTGAGGGAAAGGCAGGAGGTGGCCGAGGGCCTCGGGTGGAGGCTCTGGAGCTGCACAGACAGGGCTCACAGGCCACACCTTCCCGCAGGGCGCGGACGGCCCCAAGGGGGAGAAAGGAGAGTCCGCACGTGACAGCCTGCAGGAGAGCCTGGTAAGGGCGCGGCCGAGGGCCACGTGGGGACCCGGGCCCCTGGTCAGAAAGGTCACCCAATCAGGACACGTCCAGCCAGCGGGGGACAGCAAGTGAGCCCAGGACTGCCCCTACCTGAGCCCCACTGAGAGCCCAAGGCCAGGTGCTGGGCCTCACCCTGCTGCGGCCTCCCTGCTGGGGAGAGCCTCGGCAGGGGTTCCGGCCCACACCTGGGATCCTGGCCCACACCCGGGGTCCCGGCCAACACCCGGGGGTCCCGGCCCACACCCGGCGTCCCGGCCCACACCCAGGGGTCCCGCCCCACACCCGGGGCCCCGCCCCACGCCGCCGCGTGCAGAAGTGACTAACCCACCTCTGACCTTCCTAGGCCCAGATCATAGTGGAGCCAGGGCCCCCCGGCCCCCCCGGCCCCCCAGGCCCCATGGTAAGGACGGTGGGTACCGAGGGTGGTGGACCCAGGGGAGGACAGGATTCTTCCTGAGTGGGCAGCAGGCCGTGGCAGAGCAGGCCAGGCCAGGGCCCGGCAGGGCCCAGGGTCAGTGGGGCACCTGAGGCCTTGTGGTCCCAGGGAGAGGTCCCTGGCCCCGAGGTCTGGGCCCAGCTTTCCTGATCTTTTCTCTCTTCTTCCAGGGCCTTCAGGGCATCCAGGGTCCCAAGGTGAGCAGACAGAAGCCCCATCCCACCCCAGCTCAGGCTTGCAGCCTGGCAGCTTCAGAAAGCCCCTGGCCCCTGGGAAGCCCCAGCCAGTGAGGGCCCCACACTCGGCCTGGCCCCAGCCTGAGTTTCCCGGGAACATTTGAGTCCCTGGGAGCACAACCTCCCTGTCGTCCTCCCAGCTGGCACCCACCCACCCGGGCTCTGTTCGCTCACTTCCTCCCCTGCCCCACTCCAGCCGTACCCTCTCTCCTACTCTGACCCGCCCCCCGCCTCTCTGCCTGGGCCTCCCCCACATTACACCCCCGTGTGGCCTGCCCCCAGCTGCCGGCCTCACTCCTTCACACCTGCTGTTCTCCAGGGGAGAGCACGTCTCTGCTTCCCAGCTCAGAGGCCGGAGGGGGCCTGAGAGTCCCGGAATCCTGGACGCGAGTGGGCCAAGCCCACAGGCCAGCATCTACACTGCTCCTGGCTCAGCACGGCCCCAAGGCCTTCCCGGGTTGTGTTTAGAAGGGGCAGCTACTGACAGGGTTCAAGATGGGCCCAGCCCTGCCACTCCCACCTCTGTGGCTCTACCCCTCTCTACCCCACGTTTCCTCCTCCGTGGAGTGGGTGACCACGGCTCACTATGGCCTTTTCACCAAGGGGTACCTGGCCCTCTGCCGTGCACCATGCGTGTGCCACACAGGCCCCGTGGCCTCCTGTCCTGCTGTCTGTCTACTCTGGCCTGGCTGACTTCCGCTCTTCACTTCCAGGGCTTGGACGGAGCCAAGGGGGAGAAGGGCGCAGCGGGAGAGAGGGGCCCCGGCGGCCTGCCCGTGAGTGCCCCTAGCCTCATTGTCCCTGAGGTGCTAACTCCGGGCCACCAGGCCTCTTGACCCATTTCTTTCCCATCAGGGTCCCCTTGGCCCACCAGGCCTCATTGGGCTGCCAGGAACCAAAGGAGAGAAGGTAATGCCCTTACATAGGTGCCCGCTGTGGCTGCGTGTCCATGGCGTTGCTCGGCCCTGGGGGCTTCACCCCTGCCCCTCCCTGGGCCCAGGGCCAGAGTGTAGGCTCCGTGCACACCAAGCCTTCCTGCCCCTGCCCACGTGGCACCGTCGCTGCGTCTTTGTGGCCAACCCACAGGCCCCTGCTTGCCCTCTGTGTCTCCCCAGGGCAGGCCCGGAGAGCCAGGACTGGATGTAAGCGTCTTCATCCCTGCGTGTTCGAGTCCTCCTGGGCGCGTCTCTGCCCTCACGGTGCCCTGAGCTGGCTAGCTCGGTGGCCCCTCCTTCAGGTCCAGCACACAGCCTGGGGAAGGCACTGTGTCCCTGGACGACAGACGGAGGACGGTGGAGGGCAGATGGAGACAGGTGGATGAGTGGACAGTAGAGGGACAGTGGCCAGATGGATGAACGGACAGTGGGTGGATGCATGGACAGACAGGTGGACGCTTTGGCCACTGCCCTGGATAATCAGCCTTTGCCCCAGGGCTCTGTCACTGAGCACGACTGCCATCCTCCGCACCCCACCTCCTGTCCCATTGGCCATGAGGGAGAGAACGTGTCATGTCCATTTTTCTGTCCCCAGCGTGAACCTACACGCTGGGTCCTGGAGGGTCCTTGGTGATGGTGGTTGGATGGGAGGACGGCTAGACAGATGGACACACGAGTGCACTAGAAATCGAGCCGCAGCAGAAAGCGGGTCACCATCTCTCAGTGACGTAACCTCCCATGGGTTCAGAGGTCTCCGGCCCCAGCCCAGCCTGGGCATGAGAGCAGGCCCTGGCAGCAGCTGCGTGCAGGCCCCCAGCAGACTCCACCACGGGCTGCTCTGAGCGTGCAGAGCTGGGGTCCAAAGTGCATGCCCTTCCCTCGTCTGCCCCGGACCCTGCACACAGGCCCGAAGGCAGGCCCAGGCCTTGTGCTGTGGGGCACGTGGTGGGAAAGGGGTGGGAGAGGCGAGGCGAAGGGAAACGGCGCCCGCAGACCTCCATTCCAGGCCTCACCTTTCATCGCTTCATTAGGGTTTTCCTGGACCTCGGGGAGAGAAGGGTGACCGGAGCGAGCGTGGAGAGAAGGTGGGGAGGCGGCAAGGGGGTGGGAGGCAAGGAGCAGCAGGGGGGGAGAAGGCGGGCATGGGCAGGGTGGGGCAGCAGCGCAGGGCAGGGTGGCTGCTGGCCCCAGGCGCATCTCGGATAGCACTGGGGGGCCCTGAGCCTGGCAGCGAGGTGCCCCCACCTCCCTTCTCGTGCAGGGCGAGCGGGGTGTTCCTGGCAGGAAAGGCGTGAAGGGCCAGAAGGGTGAGCCAGGGCCACCGGGCCTGGACCAGCCATGTCCTGTGGTAAGTGGTCGAGTCGCCTGCGAGCCCCAGCCGGGCCTTTCCAGCCCCCAGCTAAGATCAAAGCAACTCCTGCCCTGTTCTCAGAGCTCAGGTGCAAGTCCCAGAGGCCCCACCGGCCCCAGACCCCGGGACCGCACTGCTGGGGCCTCCGCTGCTGCTCCGGTCACTCTGGCCCTGAGTGCTCCACATGGACGCAGCAGCCGGGCAGGCAGGCGGCTGCCCCTCTGTACTCACTCCAGGGTGGGCCCAGCTTGAACAGGAGCCCCACTTGGGCCACGTTGGCTGGGAGTGGAGAGGGGTAGACCAGAGCAGAGCCGGGGTTGCCCGGGGTCCTCGGTAGCTCTGGACACCTGGGAGGGGTCTAGGCCGTGGAAAGACAGCCACAGCCTCCACCTGAGGCCAGCCTCCTTCTGAACCCTGACTTGGGTTGGACTGAGACTCCAGCCATCCAGGTGGGACCACGCGACCTCTCTGGTGTCTGTCCCTTCTCCCCTTCTTCCCTCTCCTTCCCAGAAGGAGCTTTTCCTGGTCTGGGATGGCCCTACCCTCTTCCCCATGCTCTGAGCCCCTTCCTTTACCTCCTTCCCCCTCATCTCTGCTCTCCTGGAACAACCCAAGTTCAGGTCCCTTTTTCTAGAAGGCAGGGAGGGCTGCAAGGCTGACCTTTCCCGGGAGCTCAGAACAGACCAGGAAACGAACCAGCAGGCTTCCCAGACCACCTGGCTAGACGCTGGGCCTCAGCCACCCGAGCCAGGGCACGGGCGAGAGGCCGCAGGGCTGCTGTGCGCAGCCTGACTCCCCAAGGGCATCCGAGCGCAGCCCCCTGCCCAACCCTCTGGCAGCAGTGCGTCCCTCTGGCCATCTGTGCCTGTCCCCTCATCCACACAACGGGGGCGGCAACCCCCTCCAGCGGGACTTGGAAGTGGTGACCTGAGGGGCAGAGCGGGCCGGGATGCAGCTCCAAGCCCAGGCCGGGCGTCCAAGTGAGCAGCCTGTCTCTGAACAGGAGAACCCAACGCGCGGAGGCCAGCAGGGGGTGCCGGGCTGGAGCCCCGGGGCCCGCGGGCGCTGCCGTGTGGTAGGCACTGGCTGCGTGTGCCGTGTGCTGTGCTGGCCCGTCCCGCCTGCCTTCCTGTGCCCCGTCCTCCCACCTGTCCTGTGGTCCCCAGCCTGTGCCCTGGCGAACACGTGGGGACACTCCAGGGGGCATGTTTGTGAGACCCATGCTTGTGCCCTGCCGCCCCCGGGACCCTACATGTCCCCTCCAACTCCCCCACCCACGCCCAGGCTGCCTGAGGAACCCACCCCTGCTCAAGTCTGGGGGCTGAGTGGGCACCCCACCCCCAGCCCAGTTTCCACCCCAATGACCCAGCCACCCTGTCTGCCACTTGGACCCAGTCAAGGGGCCAGTTCAGGGGGGAGGTGGATGCTGCTTCCTGGGGTGTCCCTCAAACAGTTGGTGACAGTCCAGGCTTGAGTGGGTACTGGCCTGGAAGCTCTCGGGCCCCCCCGGTGAGGGGCCACAGCCACCACAAGCCCCACTGCCAGGCAAGAAGCCACACAGCCCTTCGGAAGGGCCAGAGCCAGCCCTCTTCCGGGCTGGCACATGCTCCATAGTACCCCTCGGCATGGGCACAGAGGGTCCCCTGTCCAGTCCGTATCCCACTACACAGAGGAGGCTTTGCACCCATATCCCCAGGGCCCAGCGGTGGTCCCATGGCAGCTCCCCGGACAGCATCTACCTACAGACCCAGGGAAGGGTGTGTGGGGTGCAGAGAGCTCCCATCCTGCCCCTGAAACCTTCTTCTTTTCCAGGGCCCCGATGGGCTGCCCGTGCCTGGCTGCTGGCATAAGGTACCTTACCGGGAAGTGTCCAGGCAAATTCAGGAGTGGCAGGGAGCAGGGCGGGCCCTGGGCTTAGAGCTCTGCAATCTGCAGTGACTGCATAGACGTGTCTCCTGACACGTGGCTGAGGCTGGGACGTGGTCCCGGGGGACTGAAACTCACCCTGTTGGTTGTGTGCCTCCTGGGACTGTCTAAACTGCCCCGCTGAGAACAGGAAGGCCAGGGCCTGCATGGGGGCGGGCTGCATCTGTTCCTGAGGAAGGGGTGGGAGGTGCAGGGGAGGAGTGAGGCACCGCCCTCCTCACCGCACTCTCCCTTCTTTGCAGTGATCCTCAGACCGCCTGCAGCCCGTGTAGGTCCGCGTGGGCGTTTCTAATTTTTATAAAAACGAAACAGTAATATATTGATCTTTGTCGTGGGATGTGCCACCTGTGGCCTTGGGGCCCAGCCCCAGGATTGTCAGCACGAGACGCCAGCGGGAGAGCAGGGCCAGCCTGGGACGGTGTACTCCAGGGGGTACCCCCAGGCCTGGCTTCCCAGGAGACGGAGGTGCAGAGCCTGGCTCTGGCAAGGCCAGAGGGCACTGCTGGGCTCCCCCACCTGACAAGCAGAGACTCCCGGCGTCCCGCTGCCTGCCAGAGCCTGCCCCTGAAGCTCCAGAGCCCCACTCGTCCCTCCCAGAAGGCCCAGGACGCCGACAGCAGCTGCAGCTGCTCCTGGCCTCAGCCTGCTCGCCCGGCCCAGCGAGCGGCCTCCGGACCTGGTTCACTGGGCAGGCCAGGACTGCTGCCCGCACTCGCAGTGGGGTCCTGGGCAGTCAGTGGGCAGCCCAGCCAGAGCCTGGCTCCCAGCACGACCGGGTTCAGAAAGCACCCCGCCATGCGGACGCATTCCCTGGCCAGGAGTCAAGGCTGAGCACTGTGACCACTGAGCCAAGGGCCTACCACAGGCATCGGGGAGCCCGAGTGTGGGGCACAGAGTCCCAGGCTGGACTGCCACCACTTCCTGCCCCATCACACAGAGCAGCGATGGCTGGGACTCTGCTGAGCTGAGGAGGCGGGCCCCAGCTCTGAGTTCAGGCTCCTCTGCCCCAAGCCTCCCGCCCAGGACTTGGGTCAACCAGCCCAAAGAGGTCCTCCTAGAGGCATGCGGAGGAAGCGGGCCTCAGGGCTGGTCCCCGTGGCCTGAGCAGGGGCCCACAGCCAGAGTCACCTGCACAGAGGAGAGACTCTTCGCCCCTGCAGGGGTCCCAGCAACAGCTCCGTCCCGCTACCACCGCCTCTTCCTGTGCAGATGGGTATCCCGCGTGTAATAAAACACGAGTGTGTGTCAGTGTGCCTGTCCTTGCAGACCGCTCTGGGCACCTCCGGCCGAGGTTTCCTCCGGGCCAGCGACAGGCAGGGGAAGGGAAATGGGACTCTCCCAGGGTCAGAGTGCAGGTGCAGTCAGGAAGCCGAACACAAGGCCTGGCCCTGCGACACCGGCCAGCCATGGCACGTCACTGGGCTGCCCTGTGCCCCTCTGCTGAGGCTCCAGTGACTGCTACAGCCAAGTACCCCAAAACGTGGTGCCTCCACACAGGGAGGCACCCATTCCCTCCCGCAGCCCTGGATAACGGGTGGCGCTCGA